CGACGAGGTCAGCAGAGTGGATTCTGTGAGTTTTTTGCGTTAGTTTGAAACTGGTGCCCCCCCCCCCCCCACACGTTTAAATGGAAATATTTCATAAATCTATATAGCTATGTTTAAAAAAAATTATTTAAATCGTAAACGTCATTGGAACATTAAGATCATAATTAATATAATCAATTTTAATATATTGTACATGTAATTGTTCTTAGGGAATAAATAGCTTGAAGAGGCGCAAGGGAGTGCATTTTTTAAAGAAATAATGTAACATAAATACAAGATAAATATTTATATCTATTTCATGGGTCCATGTTATCTGTTTTTCCAGAGACCGATTTAGATCTGGCACCAACATGATTAGCCACGCCCACTGCGCCATGGTGACATACCGCTACTGCAAAAGTTACCTCCCCGCCGATAAGAAGCTGCACGAAGACATTGAAATAGAAATAGTAGAGCCTATGTTGAAATAACTCTCTCAGCCAAGACTTCTGTATGTGGTTTGTTATGTGATGGGTCTCTCAGCCAGGGCATGTTTATGTTCTAAGTTATCTGTGGTGTCCTCCAGCCAAACCTTTCACCACGTACAATTTTGCTGAAGCTTCAACACTCAGTTTTTGTATGCCAGATCGGTTAAACAATAACTTGATTAATTACTCTGAACTTCTCTTTTTTTTGCTGAAGACTTTGATCAAGTGTAACATTTGTAACATAACAGACTTAAAATACACAGGTTTCTCTTTATTGTTTTTAGACATAGAAGAGTTGCTCAATGCCCTTATCATTTCGTGAGGTGTTAGATGCTGATATTGGGACAATGGTTCCCGAAAATTATGACACTGCACCGCCTCACGACCAATCACAGTGGACTTACTTTTCCTCTTCTGTTTCCCTATTGCCTGTCTTTTAACTCTCACTCTCACCTACTTATTTTCTGTCACAATTCTTTTGCTGCGCTCTCATATGCTACTTTTCAGTTAAGTGTTATTTTTATTTAAGTCTTTTTTTTTTTTACTGTTTTTAATCGCTGATGAAGGCTTCCTGCCGACACGTTCGTTGTTTTGTTGAATTCATTTTGTCAGGTTTTCCCATACTGCGTTTGACTCATTTCCTTTTTTGTGAAAGTTGGTGTATGTTATTTTCATAAAATTATCAATGCACAAGTTGAAACAACATAAATAGTTAAGTTTGTATTATTTACCCCCTCCCCCACCCTTTTGTCCAGGTATTAGAAAGGTTCGCCCTTGGTTTACAAACCACTGATCTAGTAATCGGTGGAAGGTTTGGGGGGGGGGGGGATGAAAATATTTTAAAACCAATTATTTAATAATCTGTGGAAGGTTTTGGGGGGGGGGGGGATGTAAATATTTTAAAGTTGTTCCACTATGGATCTCCACAATTGGGACTAAATGATAACATGAGATTTTCATTTTATTTTAAACTTTATTTTATGTGAAGTACAAGTACAAAGCTGTTATTTACACTTTGCTTAGTATTTTTATATTATTTTTTTCTCTTAAACAGAAAGACTCAACAGTATATATAATGCATATATAGAAATAAAGACATAAGACTAAAGGACTTTAAAAACAACAAGAGACTAATCATTTTGTGTTAATATCAGATCACTTGCTTCATCACCTATGAATAATTTTGCACAATTATAAAATAAAAAATAAACAATTATTTGTGCCTTGTCTTTGAATGATGTCTGTGGTATTTCAGGGGGTGTGTGTGGCATTTGAGGGTGTGTGTGTGGTACTTGAGGGTGTGTGTGTGTGTGGTATTTCAGGGTGTGTGTGTGGCATTTCATGGAGTGCATGTTGTATTTCTACATGTTAATTTTACTCTTGTTTTAGTCTTAGTCATACTATTCAAATGAAATATTTCCTTTCCTCATGATAATTATAAAGCTTTATCTAGATCACGTTAGAAATGAACAAAATAATCATATTTTCTCTTCTGAGTTTGGCTATTTTTATACCGGTAACAAATTTTGAAAACAATAATATTTTTTTAAAAATTGCATATAAATTCCATGACAAATAAGCCAAATGATTGCGTTACAATTCATTACAAGAAAATATAACAAATAGTAAGTAACATATATACCCATCTTTAAATTGATTAATTTTAACATCACGTGTCAATGAACATGAGTCCACTTATCTACTGCAATAATAAATAATATCGTTTGAATCTAAAGGTCTGGTTGGGTATTCCTAGGTTCTCTCTCAATATTTTTGGCATGCTTCTGAAGGAGCTCCATCACATCAGATCTGAACTCTTCTGGTGTCTCCCTGGCACCTGAATGATCAGTAGGAAAAACCGTTGATTAAATTTGACCCTTGAGACAGCAACATAATATTTCAGATAGTGTGGACGAAAAATTCCAACTTTAAGTCAATATCAACTCCATTGATATATATTATTATTATGAAATGTAACAAAACAATACAAACATTTTATTTAAAGATGTTGAACATATCATTGAATAGCTATTTTTATCCTTTTTCTTGTTACACATTTGCAAGTTCTTCAAATCATGTATTGTGTCCCTCCTTTGTGCAACCCCCTCCCCCCCCCCCCCCCCCCCCCCCCCCCCCCCCATCTTTTATCAATCCTTCCCAATCAACACATTCTTAACACAAGATACTGGTAATCACATCACACATCTCTTACCTGACTTTGCGCCTAAGAAGTATAAATAATAAAAACTTGTCACAGAGGCAATTTAATTACTTCCCCTTGTTTTTCTATTCTTCTTCTTCTATATCTTAAGGGCCCACGATCAATTTATTGATCATTTTAGCTCCTATGCATGTAGAGGGGATTTGCAATGTTTCTGTGCCTGGTGTTTATGAGGATATTTCACTGATTGTAAATGCTACTTTGTGAGGTAATCATGCACTAGGGGTCGGGAGGCTTGAGGCAATAGACGGAAATGTTTCTAGTGTTGTTGCCCATTTTTTATCTTGTACATAATGGAGAGCCTGGATTGTCGTCGTCGTTCCTCCAAAGGTGACCAGCCTAGTGTTTCCAGCATGCTGCCAACACTAGAGGTATTCCTGTAGTGGTTCAAGACAAAGCGTGCAGCCCTTCGATGGACCGTCTCCAACCTGTCAATGCTCTTCTAGGTAAATGGGTCAGAGACTGAAGATGCATAATCTAAAACCGGAAGGACAAAGGATCCCTGGGAGACCCTGTCTTCACATCGACAAAGGAGGAGCTTGTACCGTCCACCACTACTGCTTGGCATCAGTGGCTGAGGAAGCTAGGGATCCATGTTTAAGTGTTGCCTTGGATCCCATATCTCTGAAGTTTGTGTAGAAGCAAACTATGATTGACACGGTCAAATGCCTTTGAGAAGTCCATCACCAGCACGCCAGTTTGCTTGTGGTTCTCCAGATTGGTCATCAAATCTTCTACAAGTTCAAGTAGCTGGATCTCACATGATCGATTGTCTCGGAAGCCATGTTGACAGTCATTGAGTATATTTTGGCTTTCAAGGCCCTTCATGACTGTGCTTACGATTATGTGCTCCAATTATGTGATGCTAAGGTTATCTGATGACAAGCTCATATTTCATGTTCATCTCGTGTCAAGTGTGACCATAGTTCAATTTTTGTCAAATGTTATTACTGCTGTCTATTCCTCATAATGTCAATTCTAAATTTTAAACAAATAAATAAAAAGAAGCATACTAAACATTATAAGTTACCTGTAATCCAGTAATAAATGTCCCAATCATTTGAAGGCTGGTTGATAAGCTTATCATACAAGGAAAGTTGATTTTCTGTCAGTGAGTTTAGATAACGCCCAGCGAAATTGCTATAAGAAATTTTAAAAGAATATTTTTTTTAAAATGAAAATGTAAAGCCTTTTCAACAAATCAATTTCCATTCACACACCGAGAGAAATTGCCAATATTTTAAGTTAAAATGTCAGCTGTTAGTTGTATTGCCATCCAGTTAAACAGGTTGTTGATAGGAGTGTTTATATGATGCAGAGCGTTGTTTAGGTCAGAGCTGAGAACAAACCTTAACAACAGACCATTCTCCAACATTCCTCTCTTGCGACTCTGATAGAGAAGTCTAGCTCGTTTCAGCTCTAGTGTTTCTCCCTGCCTTTCAATGTATGGTGGGATGGGAGGGCTCGTGTCTACAGGGTCGTAGATTTCAAATCCATCACCAGAATCATTAGAAAACCTACATCGCTGTATTGTGGTCATTAACTGGGAAAATCAAAATATATATTGAAATTTTTTAAAATAAAAAATAGCAGTAAATTTTAGATGACAAATGCATGGGTTTTTAATTGCCCTGAATGTGACGATTCACCTGACATGCAGATGCCTGCTTACAAAGCCAGGGGCTTATGGACATTAGGAAGGACAACAGCAGGCAATGGCAGTAGAGGGTTAAAATATAACAATGGCAGCAGAGGGTTAAAATATAAAAATGTCAGTAGAGGGTTAAAATATAACAATGGCAGTAGAGGGTTAAAATATATCGATGGCAGTAGAGGGTTAAAATATAACAATGGCAGTAGAGGGTTAAAATATAACAATGGCAGTAGAGGGTTAAAATATAACCATGGCAGTAGAGGGTTAAAATATAACAATGAGTAAAAATTATAATGCACTTCCCTATTTTCTTTGAATTGAATTTACGATTCAGAAATGCGAGATTACCACAGTAGCCTCCCTTACTTTGTATAGTACCAGTTAGTATTCATACTTTTGACTCTCAAATATTTAAGGTTTTGGGCCATTTTTTTCTCTATCATTAGGTACCTTTACCATCTGGCTGGTTCAATGTCAGAGAAGAACATAGCAAAAATAACATGTTACATATCACTTGATTCAGAATTGAATTACATATTATTTAATATCAATTATCAGTTAAGAGTGTTTTTGATGCCAGGCCAAAAGTATGAGTTTCTTTTCTCTAAGTTTGAACAAAAATGTCAACAGGTGGAAGGAACAAAAAAAAAGTATTAAGACCTGAATTAATTTCTTCATTATATTCATCAAATATACACACACAAATTTCAAGCCATTTTTCAAAAAATGTGTATTATTGGGCTACTTTTTAAAATGTATTTAAACATTTTAAAAATTGTGAAATTTTAGAATTTTTCTGATTTATTTATTAAAAAATTAATAAATGCAACAAGCTGTGTGTTTCATGACATAAATACCATTATTATCAGCAAACCAAAAAAAAGCACAATGGAAGTGACGAATAATAGTTTCCTTAAATGTACCATATCATATAGGTGGGGTGGGGTCAAAACATTGTCAACAAAGTTTGCCAACACCAGATTAATTCTACTATGGAACCAAAAAAGACTAAAGCTATCAGATCTTTTTAATTATTCAAGACATCCATTTCCTTTTCCTCAGATTGCAAGACATATGACTATTAGCCTAACACTAGAAATTTCATTTAAATGAAAGAATAAGGCTTTCGGCCACTGCTTTTTTATTGTACTAACCTCATTGGGTTTTCAGTACTTTGAACATTTTTATTTAAATGTTCATCTTTTTATTCAAATTTATGACTTGTCTCAGTACACTTCAGTGTGTTAATGTAGCACACGAACACATGGTTTAGGCGCCAAATCATAGATTTTTGGTTTGAAGATTTACACTCAAGTTGGAGGGGGTTATTTACATCTGTTTTAGGTGTATGTGGGGGGCTGTATATAAATCATCGTAAATTAGCCATAAGTTTGTCTCTCTAACTTAACTGTATTGCAAACTTTTTTAAACTTTACTAACTTTAACTTCACCGAACTACCTGCCTAGTACTACCTATTATTATAAATATTATAAATATTAATTTTTCATATCAATGATTTTGACTTTTAGTTTGCAGTTTGGTAAAGCAAGGGAGACCACTAAAAAAATGTGAATGGAAGATGGGCGTCGGCACAAAAGAATCCAAGTTTTTAATTTTTGGACATCAGTTCTTTTTCATAAATGTAAGGACTATGTCCTCATGAAATTGTTGTATCCTTCCTCATGTTCACAATAGGGACATCTTGACCTACATTCCAATGTATTGTTTTGCTTTATTTGAATGACCTTAAAATATTGGAAATTCATAGGTATATATATAAGGTATCTTTCCCTTAAAATTTCTTTATGAAATTCAAAGACTAGGTCTTTCATATTAAAGCTTGAAAAGCATTTTATATGCTTACCAATTCTCATTGATGAAGGTTGTGTCCTATGTTCGTTATGCTTGTCCTAGTAACATGCATTATCAAATGCGCTGAGCCTAATCCTAACCACGCACCTTTTTAGTGTTGGAAGATGCATATACTTAGGAAATATTCAATTATTACCACTACTTATTTCAAAATATTTGATAATTTGTGTTTCAGAATGAACTTAGAAGGCTTTTAAACAAGAACATTTTAATTTGAGGTTTGAAACACCGGTTGATTCCATATTATTAATGATCATAATTCGCTGTGTGCAAAACGTCATAGGCATTCACAGTCACTTGTTATATTACCTTAGTATCATTCTTATAGTTTCATTCATAAAAGAATTAATGTACCATGTGCAAACACGATTAAATCATTGGTCATAGAAACCTTTAATCAAGCAGTCGTGCTAGAGTATAAAGTTCAAAATAAGTAGTCACAAATATGTATTAATTTTAAGGGACTATATATAGACTACATGTATAATGGATGCTAGACTTAGTAATAAGAACATCCATATATAGGTGATAGTATTTAATGATGCATATTATATATTGATAAGTTATAATTTACTTATAATTACAAAATAGTGTTGTAATAAATTTTAAAATTGCAACTTTCAATACTTAGATTAATGCTGAAATAACAGTTGTATACAATTATCATTAAAACAAGAGTTATTGCCCACGACGCGCACAACGGAATGGGGTCACAAGATGTGGACCATTGTGGAGGTGCAGTCTATAGTGAAAAATGCCAAACAAACTCGCACTTTAAAAATTCGGGGGGGGGGGGGGAGGGTGAACTTAGATGTTCTTTTTTTTTATGGGGGCCCAAAATTTTTTTTTTTTTTTTATATGAGGTGTATAAATATAATTCCAAAGAAAGGCTCCTGCATGGGTGAATGGAACGAGATCAAACTTAGTACACATACACTTGATTATCCATATTCAAAAACCGTACTGAAGGGTAATGAACTCATAATTTTAATTTTTCCTAAAACTAGCCAATATACACTGCGCCGCTCTGCAAGAGGTGGTACTGTGCAAAGTGTAAAACGCAAAAGTCGTTACACGATGGTTCATTTTTTTCAGGCAGTCACCAAACTTTAAAAAAATTATATTAATGATGTACTGTTGGTCACATGATAAGCCACAGACCATAATAATGCACGAGACAGCACTTACAACAACTAACACAATTGTAGGATGGTGCAGCACTTACAACAACTAACACAATTGTAGGATGGTGCAATTTTATGCCAGAAGAATGTGCTGTGAGGCTGGAAAATAATACAGAGCCAATTTTAGGCATAGAAAATAATGGAGTGGTGGAGACTGATGAGACCAAGTATTTTCATCGCAAATACCACCGAGGCCAGTGGCGAGATGGCCCCTGGGTGATTGGCGGCATTAAATGTGGCACGGGTAAATGCGTTCTCATCAAGGTTCCCGACCTCACAACTGCTACAATGGAGCCGTTGATCCAACAATATATCCTCCCAGGTACACATATCATATCTGATGGCTGGGCGGCATTTGCACAGATTGACCGCATCGCCAATGACATCTACATGAACAATGTTATCATCCAATAACTAAACTTCATCGATCATGCTGATAAATATGTTCACACCTAAAACATATGTGGATGTGAGCGAAACACAAACATCTCCGTCAATTTGGAACCTCATGTGAATTGTTCCGGTCGTATCTACACGAATTTGTGTTCAGAAACAGGATATGTTTGTGACATTCTTAAAGATCACCACGGATAATTATCCAGTTTGAAAATATGATACCTGTTTTTTATTTACATTCTCTGATATAATGACTATTTATTTACGTTCTTCAATATTTATGAAATAATAACAGTTGTTTAACTTACGTTCTCCAATACTTCTGATTTAATAAATTTTTTATTTAGGCCTACATTCTCAAATGGCTTGATATATTTCTGATGTAATAACTGTTGTTTTATTTTTGTTAAATTTAATGAATATTGTAAAATAATGTTTTATAAATTTAGGTACTTCAATTTTAATTCACCGCAAAAATTATCATTACTGCTATTCTATGTCTATGCAGTTATATCCCATTTAATAAATACAACTGCTTCTGTAGACACCATGAATTCTTTGACAATTTCTGCATTAGTTCACAATGAAGTCAGTTGTATCTTGTTTCTACAATAACACAGTATTATACATTACATGCTGTCAGACGATGTGATTAAAACCACAAATTTAACGGAATGCCAATACTCAACGCATCGAACATACATGGAAATTGGCAAAAGAGAGAAACAAGTGCCACAATGGCACACACAAACATATGCTAGATTCTTAAATGTGTGAGTTCATGTGGTGTCGATGTGCTAAAGAAAATGGTTGGAATGTATTCAACATCATTCTAGACGACATTGTCCAAATTTGGCAACCACAGTAGCGGAGGACTTTAAAAGAAGTAAATATGTTTTAATGCAAAAGAACATTTGTTTTATTGGAAGTGTGAAATAATGTATAATGTACAATATTTTTTGCCTGGAATTAAACTTTTTTATTCGAAAGAACATTTGTTTTATTCGAAGTGTGAATAATAATAATTTTTGCGATGAATTAAAATTGAAGTACCTAAATTTATTTTGTGAGCTAGCTTTTAGTTTGAAAAGTTAAGCATGAATAAATAATTTTGGTATTATTTAGTAAAAATCTAATTTCTTGTTTCGTTTTTGGTATAGTATATATGCTTTCAGTTGAAAAATTGCAATCTGGCATGAAGGGGGAAAATTGAAAATTGCAATCTGACATGGTGGGTGAATTTTAAAAAAAAACAAGTAAATGAGGAGATCATTTACGCTACCGGCTATGTACTAATGAGGGCTGTAAAATTCAATAAAAAGAAAAGTGTTAGTATTTAAGTACTTTAAAACTAGTCAACCAAACTTGAAAAGTTTTGGGTCTATGGATTGCTTTTTAGTTTATAAATTACAGTTAAATTTAAATAGTTTTGTTCACCG